AAACCATATAAAGGTTCTAATGAAAAATAAGGCTTTATATGCCAAGAAGATAAAATTTTTAACATGTTATGATGAAAATTTTTCCTTAGTAAATCAACCGTAAATTAAGTTTGCTAAATGTAGGCCATGTTGCCGAATTTTGATGGAAACTATGCATTTATATACATAACATAACACAATAACAATGTGCAAGTTTTCGAGTATTATTAGTTACGCAAAAAGATGTAGGGTATATAATTGTTGGCCTTGCCCGAGCATAGCATTGTAACTTGTTTTTTTTTTTTTTTTTTAATTTTATTTTTTACGTGCATATGCTTGATTTTGTATACGAGTGCGGAGATGTGCGAGTTTAGTTAGCAAAACGAAAATGTTGCTTTTACAATATGTGGCCATGAAACGTGTCAGTTGCGAAAATTGCAAAAAGCAAAAAAATGAAAGGAGATTGGATAGCTTTCGCCGAATCGTTAATATCATTATGACACATTTTTCCAAAAGGTAAACTAAGTCACACTTCACGAGCTCATTACCTTAAGTTAGAAAATTTCGCCTATCATGGCCACGCCCACGAGCGAAAGCTTTTCATTTTTTGCACAATTACGAAGAGAAAAAGAAAAATTTTAAACAATTTACGGGATAAACCGTGTACTTATCATGAAAATAGGGACAACACGTGGTCGCCGATTCATTATAAGCGAAAGAAAAAAGTTCAACTACCTCGCTGCAATAACTGTGACGATAAGTACATTTTCCCAACACCATATTGTTGTAATGCAACAATACAACAAATCATAGAGAATAAGGGAAACTTGTAAACGGCATGGAAGGTAGCAAAAGAAAGATCTCATAAGAAAGAATATAAAAATGCATTTCGTTCTGCCTGTGGCGTCTCATAAGGTATGCATGTGCTAGCATATGGGTGCCATAAAAATGTATAAAAACACAAATGAAAACTTTATCCTCTTTTGGGGCGAACGCTGAATGCCCATCATAAAGTAAACATAGGAAAATAACTGACTTTTTTCTTAACTGCAATAAATTGAAAGCCGCCGATATATATGTTCGTGCAGAATTTCAAATCGATATCTGCAAGAGTTTGTAAGTTATTGGGCAACCTATTCTAAAATGCTTAGTTTTTTTTATGCATTTATTGTTGTTGTTTTCTTTTTGACTCCACTGCATGAAAAGTTGAAGAATTTAGACAACAAACAAAAAAATCTGTAGGAGAGTATTTATGAATCTGCTAAAAACCTTTCTTTAATTGCAAGTGTGTTGACGTATGACGGTTCTTTCTCTCTTTTCGCGATTAATTCACTTTAAATAATTTTTACTTTATTTTAACCTTTTATAAATGTTTGTAAAGGTTTTGTTGCTTCCTATAAAAAAAATTAACAAAAATTTAACGGATGTTTATATTTTCAGAACTTTAATAGGCTTCCAGTTGGGCTTTGATTTTCCCACGGTTTTACGACTAAACGACCTAAATACAAACTACTTTGCAGAGGTAAAATGACTAAACGCCCTGACTTCCCATTAATTGGATTGAGTATTTTAGTAAACTGAGCTCCAACTCCAGCTGAATCGCCTTTCAATCCATTATTTACGTCAGATAAGTCTGGAACCCCATAAGTCTCAGCAGGTATTTGCCGAGCTTCACTAACCGCTTGCTGCTCCATCGAAATATTTTCGTCTATTTGTTCAACAATGACAGTTTCTACATCTTTTTTTGGTGTCAAATTTAAGTCTGGTGCTCCGTAAGTTGTAAGTGGATCATGTTTTGTGTTTTTGTTTTCATTTTTAGTTGATGAGGTCTGCTCAGTGGCAGGAAGATCAGCAATAGCATCAGTATCAAGACTATTGTCGTTACCAAGAGCGGTAATGAAATCTTGGTCTGATTTTGGATGTGGGAGTTGAAAGTCTCCCGCAGGTATAGGTATTACTTCTGCATCTATTGCGAGCACATCATCTAAATCTTCAGGCAACCCATAAACCGTAGCTGACATACTTATAACTCCGATTTCCGGTAAGGTCGTTGTACTACGTGTAATATCATCGTTATTTTTGATAACCTCTTTCGGTGTGCGTTTTGTGGGTAATTCGAAAGGTATCCTAGGACGAAAGCCGGCTTCAGGATAACCGATTTGTTCTGATGTCAATAAGGATGCACTTGCAGAAAATTCCGTTTGCCTGGACGACAATTTACGATTAACTTCCTTTATCGGTATAGCTGTGATTAAACTGCCGGCCATCGTCATAAACCATAAACTAAAAAAAATCTTCATATTATTAATAAACGATTTAATCTGCGGTGGCAGTGCACTAGCAAATCGAAACTGTTGCTTTACTATTTTCGTCACATAGCTTTTATAGCCAAAAATGGTAGATACGTTTAAACGAAAAAAAAAAAAAAATATATATATATATATATATACACTTTATATATACACATATCTATATATATATATATACATTTTTTTTTTTTTTAATCTAGCAAATCATCGTAAAAACAATCTATTTATCATCATGACCAGAATTGAAGTTCTACTTCGCTTAGGGAATTAACCAAATCAAGGCAATAACTCATTAAATGATTCAATGATTACGTATTTCATACGCAACACACGATTCGTTCATGTAAACACAATAACAAAAATAAAAACAAAAGAAACCACAACAAAATCTAAAAACACCTTTAATTTTAATGGTAATTTATATTAAGCGATTATCAACCATCCGACCAGATCAAGTTAAACCAACCAATACAAGCATGTCAAAAGCTATCTCTCTATCAGCCCTACCCCGTAACCGACAATAATGAAAAGCGCTACTCACACGTTGCGTTCACGTCATGGACGTTAAATGTGCACAGACAAACATGTGTGTGTGTGTATGTGTATGCGTATATATATATATATATATATATATGTATATATATGTGTGTATTTTTGTGTGTTTATGAATGAGTTAATTTGTCTCATATGCCACTCATGTACTGTAATTTATAGTATTGTTACGATTTTGCTTATATAGGTGCGCGTACATGTGCCGTTGTCTTTTTATTCATTTCATTTTAAGTTTCTCCTCCTTCCCCAAGTATTCATACACAAGGCATTGAGTTTGAAAGTGGTATCAACTTTTATTTTCGCGGAGACGCTAGAGTATATGCAAGAGTTTGTCGCCTTGAACCAAATCTGAAAAATCTTATAGAGAATTTGTAAATGATATCAAATTTTCCCAACAATACGGGTACAGTAAGCAAAAAGTAGGTGTTATTATGGACATAAGATATGAAAAAACTCACTGAAAGAAAACTACTACAAAAAAAATAAAAAAAAAAAAAAACAATTATCACTTTTATTAACAACATATTTAGAGAATTAAAAATGTTCTCTTTTTTCGCTATTTTTTTGTATATTATTTTTATTTACTAAATGTAAAAATGTAATTCTTGTTATATTGCAGTAACGTACAGATACAAGATAGAAATAAGAAATGCGAAAGTTAAAGTGTCGAGTTAAACACGTACCTTCGATAAAATTACCATGAAATGCATGAGATTATCTCTCTGCTTTTGTACCGCATTAACGGTTGACATGACAGTATGTTCGATCGTTTGCTTACTCACAAAAGTAAGTCGAATGGAAAACAAGACAAACCGATTATATAAGGAGCGCTGCATAGGGCATGTATATCAAGCAATTTGCCAAATGCAGAAGGGAAACATAGTTGTTCACGAAAAGGTTAGCAAAAATTATTCATTCATTTCGTTTTTTTCTTTTTTTGGTTTTTCATCGTTCACCATATGTTTATACGTAGACAACATACATCATACATTTCTAATGATACGAGTGATATATAGATGCCTGTGCTCACAAACGAAACGATCTGATGTTATTATTGAAGCCACTCCCAGTGACACCTTATCGTGAGTACATAAGTAAGTTGTAATAGTGTTATTCATAAATTAAAAGAAAATACGAAATATTCATCTAGATTTTTGCGTATTACGTTTTACGTTTTATCTGTGTTATCCATTTTAGAAGTTTGTGCCATTTTGAAAGGGAAATATTTTTACGTTAACCTGTTGCTGGTAAACTTTATATTATGCATTGCATTTAACCAACCACAGAACAACATTTTTATTTAATTTCATTAAAACCACTCACAAAGAAAGTCCTTTTTTTGTTTTGTTTTTGCAAAAGTCGACGTATGTGCTTTTTAAAGCAAAATAACTCATACATGTATGTTTGTCTGTTTACGTGCATGTTGCCACAAGAAAGGTTAAAATTATATTACTGGAATGAATGGAATCCCACACAATCACTAACAAACAGACACGCACTCGCCGCTCTCGACGATTACATGTACACCAATTTATTTCTGTGATATTTGCGAGGGCCGTGTAGATAAATTATATTATGTTTTTTCGCAGTTTTTTTTTTTTGTTTTTTCATGATGTCCATAGGCTATGCAGCGCCACAATATGTCATATGTGTAACCGACCGAACGAGCGACCAGCTAACTAATCCAACATTATGCATCAGGCTATCATCAACAATTGTGTGTATGAATAATATTATGTGTATATATGTATATTATACTATATACACATACCTACAAATATATATGTATATGTATATGTATATGTATATGTCTGCCATATGATGCTGATATAAAAAGGTCATTGAAGTTATTATACTTTTTTTTCTCGTCTACACAAATCAGCAATCAAGCGCAAGAAACAAAGGCCAGCGAACCAATCAACCAACAAAAAAGGCAAAAAGATATTTCAAACACTTTAATATTGATCACATAAAGCATACACATACATAGTTTACGTTGACGTTGATATGCTACCGTCATTGTTCGACATTATAATCATGCGCCACCAATAATTTTTTTAATATACAATATAGCTAATACAGCAATACAGCGTAAGGAAGCCAATGTAAAAGTATGCAAAACTATTCATAAACTCTTTTCCCCTACATTCTAGAGCTTACCTTCCAAATCCACAACACGACCGGCTCTTTTCAGGGCGCGAACCGCCTCATCATGGGTAGCTTCCCTGAGTTCTTCACCGTTCACGCTTAAAATAGCGTCGCCTACGTAAAGACCTTTAGCTTGATCGGCGGCCATACCACGAAAAATTTTCGATATAAGTATGGGCATGCGATTCTCCCGTCCACCTTTAATGGATATGCCGAGACCATTGTTTTCGGATTTGATAATGCGCACCTGAATCAAGTGAAACGAAAACGATACAAAACAGTATTTAATTTAATGATTTTTGTTTGTTTGCTTCTTTTCTTTTTTCACCACTTACATGTCTCTTTTGATTTGCTACATGATCAGGTACATCGCACATATCCATGCCATTGTCTGAAGAGTTATTATTGTTTAAAAAATGTTCGCTATTGTCGATACCGTCCATCTCGTTAGTAGTTAACACTGGACCATTATTACCTCCGCCACAACCACCGCTAGTTACACTGTTATTAACACCACTTGAAACACTACTAACTCGCCCGCCACCTTGCATACCTTGCATCGATGTCGATGTGGGTAATGATCCATTTTGTCCGCTATGATTACTCCTGAATGCAAAAAGTCATACATACATTCATCATAACTAGCCACAAAAAACAAAAAAAATTTGAAATGCTTATGCTAACCCAAGCGTGCCATTTAACGTGGTAGATTGATCTGCAATGCTTCCCGTATTGTCACACGGTTCATCTAAACTGATAGCTAAATAATCAGTCTCCAAGGTTACTAGCACACGATACCATGAACCACGTACTCGTGTCTCTAGTGCGCCAGAGCGCATACCAGATGCTGATTGAGTGGGCAGGGGCTGAGTCGTCGCACTGTTCAGCGTCCTACCCAAACTGGATGACTCCACCATATTAGGTTCCAGTTTTCGTTGTTATTATACTATTGCTTTATACAATTTTCTATGTATATAGTACACTGCCTGTGCTGCCTATTATCTATTTCCATTTATTTTCGTTGCCTGTATTTATATGTTTTTAGCACAACATCCGTTGCGAGAGCAATGAAAATACTTTTCATATTTTTGAAACACATATATACACATTTATATACACATATATATATACTTATACATAAATACATATATACGTGTACATATATGTGTGTGTGTGTGTGTATATCTATGTACTTATGGTTGTTGTTGCGATTGGGTCTGCAAAGATACAGTTGGGAAAAAAGTATTGAGAACAAAAACAAATTTACATTTTCATTCATACAATTTATGACTTTGATGTGTTTGCGTGCGTATGTAAATGTAAATGCATATGTATGTAAATTTAAGTCTTATCAAAACATATTAGAATTTGATGACATAAAAAAAGAAGAGAGCAAGAAAAAACAATAACAACGACGACCATAACAACAAAAAAACGCAACCAAAAGAAGTGCAAACAATACCGTTGCTGGAGCATTTTGTCCCTGTGTAAAAGTAATAAATTCAGATTTATTTTATGTGAATTTTAGGACTTCATCTTCATCTATATGTACACATCTATGTATATAATCAGCTATGAATGAATATGATTGCCTATCTGCCTGTTAGTTGTGCGTGTGTATGTGTTTCCATTTTAAAATCTTATTTTTAAAATGCAAATATTTAACGTTTTAATGAAAATAAAAAGAAGAAACAACTGATTGCTTTTAAACTTTTTAAATAAAGATTTCAATCTTTTCTTTCAAACAACCTCATTATCTATGTACAGATAGTAACGACAATGATATCATTTTAGAGAGAGACAGATAGAGAGACAGAGAAATCCACACATATAACAATCTGATAAGATAGCCCCCGACTGGGATTCTAAATTCGTTCAACTTTTAGCTTTGACTGTCTGTAAAATCTATTGTTGTTAATGCTAATGCTGTCGTTGCCGTTGTTATTGTTATAGTCGTTTGTATTGATGGTGCATTAAATATGTTGCTGTAATCCATTTGTGCATTAAACACATAAATTTGATATGTATATCTTTACGTTTGGATGTATAGAAGGTTGTAAATATTAATGTAGGTGTGCACATGAGTGTTAGCCTATGTTGTTGTCAAATGCATGCACGCTGTCGTCACAGACTTCCGCCTTTCGTGAAAATAATTGTTTCCCGCGGTGTTAAAATCTACTACACAAGTCCACACACACACAAGCACATAACTTTTTTCTCTCATACATGTATATACAAGTAGACAAATCCATGCTTAAATGAAAGATCTCTTCTTACACGTATATTATTATACATATAGTATAGCTGGCATAAACAACTTTTCCATCTCCTGCTTATGCATACATATATACACAGTCATAAAAGAAGTAGTAAGCATAGGAGCGCATTGTCAATATGAGTATATATGAGGGAGTGAATGCTTTTGCTGCTACCATGTTGGACCATGTAGGCCCAGCGTACAAGTACATACGTATATATATATATACATATATGTATAGGCAATTAATGCATTTTAAAGTACATTTAAAGGCACATACCCATGGGTATATGCGCGGTATATTATCAACGTACTTACTATTTTCTTCAGGATTTCTGTTCCCTGTTAAGTCGCCCCTTGAATATATGTGCAGATATTTTATATATGTTCTTGTACTTTCCTTACTTATCTGCCTTTGTAATCTGCAAGTTTCACGTCCTTCTGTAAAACGTTTCCTTAACAATTTCTTCTATTTCTTCTTAATTTACACTCAACTGTTTGCATAAACAGTACTCAATAATTCTCTTAGCTTTTTCACACATTACCTTGCAGTTACAACTGCATGTATCTGTTATGTTTTTCTTTATACGTAAGCAACCACCTTTAGATTTTTTTAAGAAGTCTATTCCCCTTTGACACTTGAGACACTAAGCAGCCACTACTAATGGCACTACTGCTGCCGCTACTGCTGACTGGTAATTGCAAGTAAACACACAAAATCATCGTCAACCGTCAACGCCAAAAAAATATATGCACATAAGCGCCCTCATATTTCAAAAATGCTGTACCTATAGTAAGTAAATCGTACTTTTAAATAATTATATATGTGCACGTATATCTAATCAGTCATATATGACAATGTATATTCTGAATACACAGTTAGTTGAAAAATCCTATCAAATACTTTTACAGAGAAGTTAAAACCCTTCTTTTTTAATTTTCGTCTTTTATTTAAGGAGAAAAAAAAAAACAAAACAACATTCATAAGATTTTTGTGTAACAATTTTTTTTTTTTTTTTTTTTTTTTTTTGGAAATAAAAAATAGAATCAAACAAATTTTTCTTTTATTAATTTATTCAATTCAACGAAGTTGATGATTACAAAACTATGCCGAATTAATTATTAAATATCTGTGCTTCCCTTTGCCAATGTGCATACATACTTTTATGGAGAAGAAGTTAATTCACTCAGTTTGTGTTGACATTGAATCCATTCGCGTACGTAAAGAAGAATATTGGAAAATATAATGGTTAAAATGGACCGTAGCTCCTCACAATACGCGTGCAATTGCGAATATTTCATATTGTTCGTAAGCACATAATAAAACATAACTATATAGCATCATTATTATCTAAATCATCATATCTAAACATTAATTCCGGAATTTTTAGCACATTTCTTTCCTTTTTTTTGAATATTATTTATAAAAATATGCATTTGTGGCGACTTGACTTTTACTATTAATGTAATGAATTTGTTAAAGTGTTTTCCCATTTCTCGATTGAATCCTTATATGAATTAAAAAGCAGCAAAGAAGCACTACACGAAAGTATTGGTGTGTAATTGCACAAAATATTAGTGCAATCCAAGTCATTTCGATGCTCAAGCTAGTCGAATATGTCCAACATCCTCAACACCTGTGCCCACCTGAGTTAATCGATGTGTACAGTCATGGGTCGCAAGTTCATTTGAATTTGAAGATGTTGAATTCCTTGGAAAATGCAACATGTTCAAATGTAGGTTACTCTCCAGCATGAACCGTAAAGTATTCCCTAGATCGACGATCTTCTTTAAAACTGAAGTTCCGTGAACGAAATTGGGCAAACCATTTTTGGCAGTTCCGTACAGCGTATCAGTTTTTGTATATCTCCACTTAATACTACTTATTTGTACAACAGTGTCTGCGTGTGTTATGTAAATAAATCATTTACTTCAATTCATTAAACTAACTTCCTTTGAGTAGAGTAAATTTCGCAATGTCACGACAAAGGTATCAATCAACTTAATGACTATGAGTTTTGTTCATATATTATTTCCTTGCTTTCAAAAAATGGATTTCATCTAATTTTTTCAAAAACCATGAACGTAATGGTCGTTATTCTTCTTCTTCAAAACCCTTAAAAAAAAATAAAATAAAGTATCCTTTATTATCATTGTGATCTCAAAAAAATATGTAAAAAAGGTAAGCTATTATAATAATTGTAAGTGTATCAATTGATCGAAAGACACTCGTTTACCTCAATCTTTACGGGGGCCTGGATATTGGCGGATTACGTCGACTTTTTTTGCAATGAAGTTTTAAACAATTCTATTAAATATTTGCAGCGTGTTTTAGATTAATATTTACTGTGAATTATAAGTTAATATTGCTTGATAATTGTAAATATACAATACTCGTTTTCTAGCTCGCCTCATATCTAAATGTTTGGGTACAAGAGATTTTTAACAATAAGTAGCACATAGTTGCAGATCGCTGGAAAGAGGACGAACAGATGGCTAGACGGATGGGCAAGAATAAATCGACTCAGTATTTATTCAATGATCAAAAAACGTATACCTCGAGGATTTCTAATCCCTGTTTTTACCTGTTAAAAAAAGAGAATAGCAAACTTATGAAATAAACTCATTTCACGATTCGATATAAAAACATGTTTCTATGAAAGTTGTAACAATTCCCTCTTCCTCCTTTGTATTCTCTTCATTTCGAAATATCGGTTTCAATGTTCAACAGTTAGATCGATAGAAAATTTTATAATTTTTTGCTCTGTTTACATTCAAAAGACACCTACATATTTTTAAACAGAATTATAGCACAGCTGGACGTATCTGCTTAAATTCAACATCACTTCAATTCGCGAAAACAAGAAAATTTCTTAAATACAATATTTAATAAAATTTAAAAAGCACCGAAATGATTTAACGATAGGAGGCAGGATTGATATGAAATTTTTTACTAATACATTTTTGTGGAATAGATGGTTTCGAATCCACAAAATTATCAAGTAAAGACCACAGAATAACCTACACTACATATGGTATAGCCTTGCATCGGCAGCATTTTCGTGCATGCCAGGACATTATCATAACATTAAAAACGAGTTGAGGCGACTTTGCTCTGACATCGTCAAATTAGTTCATTTATAAAAGAGTTTGCTTGCGTTATTTTCAAATCAATCAGTTCTCCTCTTTTTATATATGCCAAACTTATATTATATATAAAAAGAAACTTTTTTAGATTTTTACACAATCCAAACTCTCTTCCATTCTTCTTCTACCGGTAAAATAGTAATTTGTGCCTATTATTTATCACATAGGATAAGTTTCCAAACACCATAGGTAATAGGATGCCTAATTGTGTTATGCGGAGAGTAATAATAGGGTCCCCATTCACCTCAATCATTATTCTTTGGAAACGATAACAAAAATTCGTTGAACATCATATGATTTCGTTCAATGAATTTTTACTGCTTGGCGGTATGACGCAGACACTAAAAAAGAGTAAGAGGAAGAGAAAGTTTTTCAAGAATCAAACAATTCATGTATATTGCCTAACAATTAAATGCATATAAATAATTTCTAATACATCGAAACGAATTGTTCATCATTTTGCTCGAATTTCGATTGTTTTCATATAATTGCTATTGAAGTCAACCTAATTTAATAAGTGAATTCAATTTGTCATTAATAAGGAGCTTGTTTATATATAGAATTATGAAATTAGCAACAAACAGGATAGGCCCAGCCTGGACCCTAAATAACTACCATACTGAACACTCTCTGGTAAATTGAGCGATTAGCGCTTATTTTGATATTAAATCTGCAGAACTGTTTTCAACATTGAGAAACTGATCATGCGCCTAATCGAAGCTTTTCGTTCGACTTTTGCTGTTTTGGGCTTTCCACAAGCGAATCAAAAGTAAATGGATGGTCTAACGAATACGCCGCTAAATAAACCAACAA